GAGGGTTAATGAAAAAGTGAAATTGATCAGTTTCGCTTCTCGAAGGATCAGACAGGGAAGAAAGTCAACGGTATGAAATTGTTTCGAAAGTAACGAGTCAGGAAAGTAGAATGAGAAGAATTTCTACACGAACGCGGTCGACGTTTGAAAATTTATAGGAATTCGCACGTTGGTGTACGGAAAGTATGGCTCTGCGTTCAACCTGTTGTGAAATATGCCGCGTGCAGTATAACTCGACGCACGTAGAGTAGAAACGCGTAGTTTTAAACGCGAGAGAAATGACTGTGCGCTACGTGTGTCCCTCCGGTTCTTGGGACACCGCTTCTGCCAGATGTTCCTCCTCCGAAAAGGGCCATCCGCCTTTTTATATCGCTTTTCTTGGTCGCTTGCTGTGGATTCCAGCAAGAACCAAGACATACGCTCTGAACTTTCGAATTCGTTCGAGAACCAGTTTATATCGAAATAGAAACGGTAACCGATTAACTACTAAGTGAAACGATTTACCACTGGACTTCCGATTTTTTTTTCTATTGATATTGATGTAATTTAATATATAATTTTTTTGATATTGATGTAATCTAATATATAATTTTTTTGATATTGATGTAATTTAATATATAATTTTTTTGATATTGATGTAATTTAATATATAATGATATTTTCACGATGATTATAATAATATATAATTTGATGTAATAAATTTAATATCAACGTGCAAAAGTATTTTGTAGCATTTGCTATGTAACACGATTTTCTACTTAGGTTCCATTTTCTTTTTCCTCTTTTTATTTATATTCTTGAAAACATAAATTTTGCGTAAAAGTACGCACTCTGCTTATCGTAATATCATCATTTCTTCAGCCAGAAAGTTACAGGATATAACGATGAAATGATCCAGTATCGGAAAATGGAGTTGTAAATGAAATATTGGATCTTTGGGAGGTTGAAATCTCTTAACGAGTTTAAAATCTTAAGTTCAAGTTTTCTTAGCAAAATGTTCGATTTGGCAAACTTTCGACTAAAAATTCGGCGACCTGTTTAAAATATACATTGCATCGAACTGAAAACTGTTACGTACATTTTGTCGTTGAGGTGAGAACCTTATCGCTGCTGAGAAAATATGGTCCACACGCTGTCTAGCATTTCTGTAACGTATCAGCTGATAAACGTATCTTTCTTTAAACTTAAAAATTGCATTTCTGCGTGTATCGTATCGTTTACTCTGGAATTCCATACTCCATTCACTAAAAGCCCCGATATTCTATCAATATTTCTCGCTCTGAATGCTCACTGGAACCGAAAGCTCCGTGCAGCCCAATTATCAAAGATTCCGATGGGCGAGGCAGCCGCGAAATTTGCAACCGATTCAAACACGAATGCTTAACAATCGCCGAAACACGCTTCATTTGAATCTCTTTGCTTTGAACCCTCGACGTGTAAAGAAAAACCGCGAATTCTTCGATTCTTAGTGACTAGCGATCGGCAATCGAATCTTAGTTTGAAAACGACTCAAGACTATTGAAATTCAAACTTTTCGCCATTTATACACTGCTGTTCAAAAGTGTGTGGACATTACCGTTTTTATGGAGTCTGTTACTATTAAATTCTTTTATGAATAGTATTGAATCAAACAATTTAATTATCCAGATTACGAAAAATTCTCTAACATCTTCGATAAACTAACGAAAGGAGAATTAATTACTGTTGAAGATTATTCTGTCAGTATATGGAGACAATCATTCATCAAAGTTTGGTATTGAATGATATTAAATGATATAACAACGTGTAAGTTATAGAGATGTACGTAGACGAGAGGGAGATGTAATCATTATTGGCGAGACACTTACTAAATTATTCGTCAGATTTATTCAAATCTACTAAAAATTTAATTCAGTGTAAAAATCAAAAGAACATACTACAGCGGTGCACGTGAGTCAAAATGCTTGATAATCCATCGAGCGATCGATGATTGTACGTTTCGATCGCGGTGTGTTCGATTCGCGGACGCACAGCTGATCGCAGACCGCGTGCTCGAACGTGTGGAACAGAGAGACGCGCGGAATCAAAGCAGCCTCTGATAGGTCGCGATACGCTTTGTTATTACGAGCGGAGTGTCGGTGGACGGGCAGTCGAGTCTAATGCCGCTGGCGGGCAAAATCGTAGCCAACGCTTGGCTCCCTCGATACTCCACGTCGGGCTTCCTCCGCAGCAGCATCGTTCCCCCGGTTCTGTGGTTGCAACGCGGTTACACATCGAGTTACGTACAGACAGACAGACAGACAGACAGATGATCGAACGTAGTACGGCGATTCCGTCGCGAATCCGACATTCCACTCGGTCCTTAATCACGGCCCCTAAATAAGGCACGCGACACTTGGAATCCCGTGGCCAGTCGTTGGAAACTGAAAATTCGTTTCGCTGAATCTGATCTATGGCTATGTGATCGATGAGACGTTCGATCGTTGTAAGGAGGAAAGTTCGTCCAGGTGTACAGTGGTGATATTTTTGCGCTTGAACGAGACGAGTAGAGAAGGGAACAAGTGACTTGAGAATAAATAAGGCAATAAGGTCTGAAATACTTGGAATTCCGTGACACGGTTTGAAATCGATCGTTTCGGGTCTAGCTACGTGGTCCGTGAGACACTCGATCGTTCACGGCGGAGTTCGTCCAAGTGTACAGTGGTGATATTTTGCAATTTTGCAATTAAACAACGAGATCCAACATAATAAAAGAACGAGAAACATTTGGAATTTCCTGACGCGATCAAATTGTACGAAACCAAAGATCTTTTCACGTTTGGTCGCACGATCCAACGTTCTACCGTATCGAGAAAGGAATCGACCCGGTGTGCAGTGATTTAATTAAACAACGAGAACGAGGAGATTTGGTACGATCGAAGGATCGTGCTTGAGATATGAAAGTGTGAGCCCTCTGTTCGACGAAGTTTGACCAATTGTGGTTTCTACGCGAAGAAACGATGATCTACCACAAGCCAACGATACCACGATTTCGGATTGCCGAGCGTGTCAGCGTGGCTCCGAGCAATCGGCCGATTTACACGAAACAGGCCAGCCATAGTAGCACGTGCAGTCTCAGAAGCAGCGCTTCCACGCCGCCGTGTGTCAATCGGTATGCGAGAAGACAGATACTTCTCTACATACTTAAATCTATATACTTTTGTTCTGTGCTTTCAAAGAAACAGTAATGATCTTTATTTGTACGTTTGGCCGACTTGTCGCGAAGAATTTTAGCATTTAAATAAGCGGCAGCTCTTTAGATTGTCTCGTTGACCCGATGTCGTTCATTTAGTATGCGACGCTGAATTATGAACAGCTTCCGCTTCCAGTTCCCGTCAGCCAGTCCACGCGCGTTCATTCTCGCGCCTGTCACTGTGTGCGAAAATGAAAACAAGACGATGAAATGTAGTGTAATTAAGTCCTACGTGTTGGGAGTATTGAAAAACACACTCGTTCTAGTTTGACATTGATTTAAAAAAGTGTTTGTAAATCTTGTAGGAAGTTATACCACATACAACGAAATATACACTATTCGCGTTAACTCTAAAAGTATGGAGCAGTCTTTGCTTTTTAGACGAAACAAACTTTTTTGTTCATTTCTCTGAGAGATGAGAATATCATAACTTTGATTTTTATATATTATAATATATTTTATTTTATATTATATTTTATATATATTTTATATATAATGATCTACACACATGTGTAAAATATTCAAACTATTGTAGAATATTTATTGTAATTGTATAAATTGCACAAATTTCTGTTTATGTTCTATTTCTTTGATTATATTATTTTATTTTTTATTTTTTATTTATATATATATATATAATTCTTGCCTAGGCGGCTTAGGATGGCTTCCGATTTACAATGGGTCTGCATTTTTCTTATTTTCTTCTCTTATAACTAATCCTTAGTGTCTACGTCTTATGAATCTAATTTGCCTTTTGCTCATCTACTTGTAGGAACTATAAGTAAAAGTAAAAGTAGAATGTAAAAGTAAAACAAAAGGTAACAGGTACAACAATGTGAAAAATAAAAAGAGTTTTCTACTGTTTTCTACTATTGCTTTTTCTTTAGTATATTTCTTTGATTATATTTGGAGGAATATAAAAATCCGTAGTCCAAATATAGTTAATCAAGCTTTTAATATTACATGGCAAATTACGAATCAAATATTCGTTTACTTGAATTTTATTGAATGTTTCTTTTGAAATAATTTCATTGTTTCTCGCGAAATCTTAGCATTCTCCAAATTCTTGAGCTGCATTTGAAATTTGATTTGATTCGAAAGTATTTAGAAAATTACAGGCAAAATTCGCACAACAACGATTTCCCATTACTGTTACAGATTCATGCGCGTGAAATAACTTTAGGTCTCATTTTCCGCATACTGGCAACAAAATGTATTCATTCCAAATTTAACAGAATTTGAACACGAAGTCTGTTGGTTAACCAAAGTCCGGAGAATTTAGAAAACTTCGAGGAAAATTCACACTACCACGATTTCAATTTTCTGTTACTTTTTACGCGCGCATGAGATAACTTCTCATGCATCGAGAACACAAAGTACCTATTCGTACTCTGCCTATAATGCCATTACAGGGGGCATACCAATGAGGGATACCTTGTTCCCATAAATCACGTCCCGGTTGAATAATGACCGGTGCTTCGTATAACCTTGCTAACCCCAATCTTCTCAATCCCTGGCCGATGACATTCCAAAGGGGAATCTTGATTGCCGGTGACCCTTTAAACAGTTGCCAACAGAGGGACAACAGTATTCTTCAATGCCAAATAGCCACTTCGCGAAATCTCGTCCGGTTTCGAATGGTGTAATTTGTCAATTCACTGGGTTACGGATGAGTTTTGCGAAATTGATGGGCACGGTCACGTGTAATAATTGCGCGGAAAAATATACGTGATTTCGCAGAGAACGTTACGACGGACGTCTGATCGTATACTTTCTTTCGCGATTACAGTATAAAGCCACCTTTGGGGAGCAAAGGACCTTCACCTGTTCACACGAGTACGCCTGCACGGTCTGGTATCCAGTCACCGAAGCCTACGATCAATGGATCTGAGCCTGTTGTGTAAGTGTCTTGCTATAGTTCGCATTATTTTATTATTTGTACAAAGTAGAATAATAATCGTGATTGAATTCTCATTTCTCTGCGACGGGATAGAATGTTTTACAAAGATAGCTGATTATTTATGTAGATGAATAAAAATCTGATTTGCCATTTAAATCGTCGTTTAATTGGAGAAGAATTCGATAGGATAGAAATTGAAAACGTGCGAATTTTTATGTGTTGTAGCTGTACTGCGGATATTTATGCAAATGTATAGTTCTACGAATCCAATTTAACCCTTTATGCGCGGAATTAAATTGTCATCTGTAATAATTAAATTTTTGTGTCATTGGATTTTATAATAATTTAGTGAATTACGTTTAATTCTCCCGAGAATGTCATAGATCATTAATATTAAATTACTAAAATTTGAAATATTTGATTTTATTCTTATTTTACATTCTCAATGTTAATTCAGTTAAGTGAAAAATTCTACAGCTGAGTAATTTAACTTTAAAATCACGAATCTTCATTTTACATATTTTTTTTTTTTTTTTTAATGAAATTATCATCACGATATGAAGAGTATAAAGGGTTAAAAAATGGAAAGTAAATAAAATTTACAACAACCTTTATTATACTTTACTATAAAATTTCTTACGTACATTCTGTGCGTTCTTTTTTTATATTAAACACGCGTGAAAATCCGCAGTCGGATATGAAACATTCGAGAGAAAACAGTGTGCGGCGATATTTTCATTGAAAATGGTGCTCGCAGGAGACAGAACTCGGCGCTGAGCAATGCTTACGACGTCAGAGCACAAGAGAGTCATTACGACGTCGTCAAGTCGATAAAGGTAAGCCAATAAAATCAGCCACTATTATTGCACCGAATACGAGATCCACGGGAAAGTAACTCGTAGGAAGTTGACTTTGAACCGCGTTGATGCTTTTACGGGGCGTCGCGCGACGATACAATTAATTTACGATTGCTGCATGTAACAGTAGGACGAAATCCTCGTTACAACGGCCCATGTAACTTAATAACAAGCTGACGAGAGCATTGATTACTGGTTGCTTTGCTCTGAATCAAGAGAACAGAGGATGTTTATCGTTTCGAGCTTTTAATCGTTTTTTATACCTATATTTGTACTTTACATAGAGTCTTATCGAGGTTGGATTGCAAACGTATTGTCGATAAGAAGAACGCTTGCACCGGCTTGAAATTTGTTTAATTAACTCGCAAAATTATAAACGATCGTATCGTGACGATTCAAACCGTTCCAATTGGTGTTTTTACGTCAATTTGAAATTTCGACCAGTCAGTGGTAATTAGCTGTCGGCTCTCTCGGCGAAATGATTTCATGAAATAGAAAATATTTTTTACAGCTTTCGAGAATGGGTAATGTTGCCGCGTGCGTTCGTTGTACCACGAAATGACCACGAGATCTAATAATGAGGAGGAGGGGGAGGGGGCTCGAATTAACAAGTCCAACTTTCTATATGTCTTTCTTTATTGCCATAAGCGCCCGTATAAATCCGTGACCCGTTTATGGTTCAACTTGCAACGCACCGGAGAGACTGGTTTAACGGCAATTTCCACGAATATTTGCGAACGTTGGCTCGTACACTTGTCGACACTTTTTTTTACAAATTTTATCGTATATCCGTACCTATATTATATATGGAATATTTTTCAAACACTCAACACCCAAAGTTTTTAGTGAGTTCTGAAAACATGCAAAAGTTACAAACTAATATTTAGTACAAATGTACATATTTTGTAGAGAGGACAAAAATATTTAAAGTCACAGAAAGTGTGAATTTCTAACACTTGTTATATACTTAAAATTGTTTTTCATTAAACGTATGTTTTTGATAAATGTTTTATATTTACATATTTTGATGTATTATTATTTATTATTGTTCATATTATAATTCACATTATAACGAACTTTATATATTATTGTATATAGCTTAGCTGCATTAAATTATTTGCTAAATATATCTATAAAATACTGTGTAGAATATTCTCAATATATATTACTAAATATCTTATAACTTCTATATACATTTTCAAATTGGTTTCAAATTTTACCAGTAAAGTTATGACACTCGTGTCTCATTACTATGCTAGTGAAATATAAAAATGTTTTACATAATACAAATAATACATACATAAAAGTTTCCTACGGTAAGCGTACAAATATTTTTGTGAGTCGCTATACATTTAAATCACACTTATAATATTTTTTCAGACACGAAATAGTTCCAAAGTCTCCCAAATAATAATTAAATTACATAAAATTTTATGACACAAGTTTATGATATCGTTGTTATCACTTTATTGCTGATTTATATCGATTTAATGTAATTCAATTAACGATGGAGTTGTGCCCGTGAAAGGTATTATGAATTTGGAAAATTACGATGTCGAACATTCGGAGAAACTTCATTCCCGGTATATATCACGCGCAGATCGACTCTAATTCCCTTAGTCATCGATTGGTTAATCGAGAAATTGCCAATTAGACGTTTTAATCGATGCAATTAGCCGCTCGATCGCAGAACCTGCCCCCTTGTCTTGTCCCCAGTCAACTCTTTTTCCGGAATGTTCGCCAATGACGCAATCAACACAAATCGCATAGTGGACGACTCTTCTCGAAAGTGAGACAAAAATGAAAAAGGAACAGAAAATTGTTTGAATATTCGGTTGAATAAGCGTCTCCTATAACTGAATTTTCTGTGCGCTAATAAAGTAATAAGTGAGAAACACATGCAAATCGAATTATCCAAAAATATTTTACTTGAAAGTTTGTTTCCGTTTTTTCGTTTTGTCAATCGCTGCGCATTTTGAATAACTGCCACAATTATTTGTAACGAGTTTCCGCTGTTAAAGATCCATGGAAGATAATGCATAGTTGACGTCAGTTTGTCAATTTAAATGTTCCACCTTGTCCATCGGCGATGAAAAATCAACGAACGAAGAAGAATTGACAAAATTCATAGGAATTTAAATATTCACGGACCATGCGTCAAAGAATTGTTGGCATAAAATGCTATGTGGTCATCGTAATAATTATTCGACGCTCGAATCTGTTCATCTGTCATTACGTCATGGTTTAGTCGATAGAAATTAGCTTCCGCAATACGGAACATCCTTCAAATTCTGGTACGAATACTTGTTTTTATTTAATACTTTGAAAAAAATCGCATTGAAAAATTTGTCATCTATATTTGAATTTGGTTAATTCCGAATTGGTCAGAATGTTGCTCTATCTGCTAAAGTAAGTCAAAAATGTGAAATACAATTTTTTCGCAAGATACTTTGTTCCTGAAAAAATTGAATGTAAGTATCACTATGCCAAGTACACGTCTCTTGAGCCAGTTCTTAATAAAGTTTAAATATTAAGCTCTGTTTGTTCTTGTAGATAAAATAAGCTTCTTTTTGATTACTCGTTTCGAAAATAGAGCTGTAAACGAAAAGAATTTATTCTTTCTTCCCAATTTATTTTCATGTATAATGTAACATCACCGTGGTACCGATTTTACCACGATTTCAGGGAGAATCTGTACTATTATTCGATTCAAACTTCTCGTCTTCAAATTCACCTTTATTACTCTTCTTAAACAATCCTATTCTATATTTAAATATTAAATGTCCTGGTTGAATAATTAAGAAAACACAGTTTCCCTTACTGTTTTGCTCCGAAATCGACCCATCACTGCTATGTATATCGATCGATCGATATAATCATCATTTACTTGGAATTAAAACGACGATGTGAATAAGACGCGATTATGCAACGCGAATATCGCGCAGAACTGCGAAAATGTTCGAGCCAGGTGCTCAGCCAGATGTCAATTGAGAATCATGTATAGATGCGACTCTGATTCGGTCTCATGGTCCTGTACGTGATCACCTCGATCGCCAACAGCTGCTGCTTCGGTCGTAATGGGTCATGGCCTGTTCTGTCTGTTTCCAGTATCGCGGACAAACCGGTTCATCGATCCATATTAGATTTACTTTTCAGCACATAGGTCTGACGACATCGATGGACGTGCGTGTCGCGTTAAGGAAAATCACATTCACGTGGGAGCGAAGATATGCGTGTCTGTTAAAACGTAAATCGTTTGCGTTTCAACGCGCTGAACCGTCTGATCTCTTATTTACGAGAGGATGGATATATTTTTTAACGCGAGAATTCGGAATATCATTGGGAGGTCTGTCTTTTGTCATAAAAATTCGAAATAAAATTGAGAAAACACTTCCTCGAATATATACAATCGGAAACTAAATCTATCTCAATGTAGCAATAAAGCTGGAAAATGTATCTTTTAATATAAAAGTTCGAAATGAAATTGAAAACATGTCTAAATGTATATTTTGGTGTAAAAGTTCAAAACAAAATGAACATTTGCATCTCTTAGTGCAAAAGTATAAAGAGGAACTGGAAAATTGTCAAAACAAATAACGACATAAATTTCCTACGGAGCGGCTTTTGATTTTTTAATTACTTATGTGATGAACGTCGCGAGAGTTATTCGCGGTGTACACGCTGACAAGGTCCAAGCGCCCACACTCGAAATTCTAATGCTCATTCCTGAGCATCGCTGGATTATGTTTCACTAGATGACGCAGTTAGAGGATGCAAATCGACGTGCAGTCACGCACCGATGCGTCTTTGCCTCGCACAATTAGAAGACTCGTCGTAACGTAAACGAAAATGGTTGTTCCGCGTAGGCGATCGCGGTTTTCCGAGATTTTTGCCGCGCTGCAAACTTGGCGATGACTCTGCCGCAAACTCCAATTTCAATATTCGCGATTGTCGTGTGACGTAATTCTTAGCGGTAAACATGCGTGCAGGAGGAAGTCATATCAATCTAACGTTTCGCGGACGCGATTTAACATTTCTACAACGTAGTGTTTACTGAATTTAACGAGATAATCGTGGAGGATTTTGTCAAAGATATCTTCCAGTTTGCTTCGATTATTTTATTCTTGCGATTTGTTCCCTATTTAAACGTAGAAAATCCTTGTTGTTGTCAAAATGATATACAAATTTTTGAGAAAAACGGCGTATGTGACAATTGAAAAAGTCAAAAAGTCTCGTTTTTATTGAATCAATTTTATTTACTGTTAATCGTGCAATGTTATTTTTCGTCACTCCACGTTGATAATTGTCGTGTGTTTTCGAGGAGTATTAAGGGTCATTCATGATTCTTCAATTTCATTTCGAATCTTTATGTTGAAAAGTATATTTTTTAATTTTATTTCTAATTTTTGTATTAGAAAAATATATTTCTTACTTCGAAAATTATATTTTACATCGAAAAGCATATTTTTTAATTTTATTTCCAATTTGTATTAGAGAAATATATTTCTTAATTTTACTTCGAAAAGTATATTTTTTAATTTTATTTGCAATTTGTATTAGAGAAATATATTTCTTAATTTTACTTCAAATCTTTGTATTAAAAAAATTTGTAGTTACTCACTGAAAATCGAAACCGAAACCTGACCTTGAGAAAAATAAACCCTTTTTTTTTTGAGAAAAATAGAGTAGAGTGCGTGGATAAATGACAATTGTCGTATGTTTCGCTAGAAACTGGACACCTGCCAACGTGTCACTTTTCCGAAAGGGTACACCTTTTCCCACTTGAATTAAAAGCGCGATACACCTTCAACCGTCAAGGTAAACTGGAATCGATGGCCATGTGGGTGTAGTGGAGACGCCTAGTAACTTAATAATGGCACGTGCTCGTTATTATTCACGATTGATGTGCAACTACGTTGATCGTTTAGTTTAGAGAAGGTTTGGTTTAGGAATGTTTACTCTTCGAATTTTTAAACATT